GTGACAACGAAGCATCCAAGAGTCCTGATTCAATTAAGATTCAGAGTCCAGACGATGAATATAAAAAGAAACTAAACAGAATTAAATCAAAAATATGCTATTACAAAAAGAAGCCGCAATGCGGTGGGGTTGAAAACGATAAAGAGAGGAAAGAAATAATCGAAAAATTAGAAACTTACCGTTCAATCCTTAAACTGAGTGAAGCAAAAATAAAAGAATTTAATAGAATAAATAAATTAATTGGAAGAGATGAATTTAATAAAGATGAATTTTTAAACTCAATCCAAATTTAATTTTTTCAGTGTCACCATGTTACCATGTGCTACCATGTTAATTAACTTCTTTTAAAAATGATGACAACATGACATTTTGACAACAACACAGGAAATAAATGTTATCGTTTATTTTATCGTTAATGGTTTTTAGGTTATTCAATAATTAATTATTTTTGAATAACTGGGAAATAAATTTACGTCAAATATGTAATTTATAAAATCTTATGTCGACAGGCTACGTAGCACAGTGGTCTAAGGTGGTGTTATGGAGGGGTCAGGGTCTGTGGTTCGAACCGCGACAGCGCCGTATTTTCTGATTTTCTTTGTTTGTCTTGTTTGTCGTGAATAAAAAGTATCATAAAAGTGCTCTATCTTCCACGGGAATAAATAAAAAATATACTTTATTTCTTCTTTATTTCTTTGTTCCCGTGGAAGAAGGGTTTTGCTGTTTTTTCTCAGCCGAAATCAATGATTTTTTCATTTTTGGAATCCTTAGCGAATGAGGAATCTTTTCTCTCGTGGAAGCTTTGACCAAAAATATATTTTAGGTGAAGAGGTGAGATCTCACCTGTTTTTTCACCTGTTTTTATGGGAGCACTGAAATAAAATTTTGTTATCAGTTATTTTATCATCATTTTATTAAGTTCATCTTTAGTTAATAATTTGAATGGATTCGCTAATGTTCCACCTTGAGTCACAACACTTGCCCCGGCTAATTGTGAAGAACCTGGGATAAGTACTCCATGAAATGATTTCATTGGTATCATTAATTTAGAAATAGTTGGCTTAATTAATTTTGTCATTTATGATAAAAATAAAATTGCATAATTTAAATTTTTTTCTTTCTCATTTTCTCATTTTTCATCCTGTTCATTATTCATTTCAATTTCTTATCACATAAGTTATACTTCATTATAGTTAAAACTTTTCAAATCCTTCCAATGGAATTTTTATCAAATAATTTCGCCCAATTCCAAGTTTGAAATCATCGATATTGGAGAATAATACTTGTCCTAATCTTTATTGAGTTTTCCACTAAGCTAATTTAAGTCTTATGGTAATATATCCTCAAATTATTATTTATTATATGCCTTCATAAATAGACACCATTTCCTAATATAAAATCGTTTAAAATTCATTTCCACTCAAATCTAGTTAAATTTATTATAATTATAGTCATTTCTCAAAATCGCAGTTGAATAGCAATTCAATTTTTTGAGGAGAAAAAACGTAGTCTATTTCTCATAATCCTGCATGTCTTTCTCATAAATTTATAACAGTATGCATCATGGATTGCTTGGTTTTATTAAAAATTGCAATTTGGTCACATTTTTAATCATGAATATTTAGAAGTCACTCAACTCAGGGTTCCACATGTAGATTTATTCAAGGAGTAATAATGAAAAAATTTAGATAATACGTAGCTGAGCTTATATCATATGTGTGAGATAATGAGTGATTTATGAGTAAGCGAATTATATTGATAATAATATTATAATAAATTTAACTAGATTTGAGTGGAAATGAATTGTAAACGATTTTATACTAGGAAGATATTTAAGGTAGCTTGAAAATACTGAGTTACTAAAATTTCGATTATATACAATGCATAGATGAATTAGACAAACATGATAATATGTCTATTTTTGTCTTGCTATCACCTCCTTTTTTTGTGTAATATTCATAAAAATTTCATAATCTTTTTATTTGCCACAAATGAATATATCGAGATGTTACCATTTATGTTCCTAGTCAAGCACGCATATTAAAGTGGAAAATTGTGAAAGTTTTCAACTTAATAATTTAATTAATTTTGTATTAACATTTGAAGAAGTTTTAATATTTGGTACAAGTATGTTTAAGGTAGCTTAATTTAAATAAGTATAGCGAACAAAAATGCGAGCGTGTTAACGAAATCCTAACATTTACAAAATAATTTTGTAAGAAACAATTCTAATTCAAATTTCATATTAGAAAGTATATCAGGAAGAGCCGAAGATCAATTATTTAATTGAATCACCAATTAAAAAATCTATTAATAATAAAAATTCTGAAATAATTCCATCACAAGACCAATTACAGCTTGACGACATTACAGAAGAAAAATCCGAAATAAAACACATAATAATTTCCACAAATACAAAAAATTCATATTCATATCTTGAAGAAGAAGAAAAGAAGAAATTTTCGAGTTTTATCCAGAATATGACTATTACAAACCTCGTCAACCTTACGAAAAACCTAAGAAAGGCTCAAAAAGAGTCAAAAGAAAACCAAATGCTGCATTTATTGAAGAACAACAAGAATTTAAAACACAGGAATTGATATTGATATTGAATACGAATATTCATATGAAGAAGAAAACAACGAAGAAGTTTTGTTCTTGGAATTCCAAAAGACGGAGTTTTATGCTAGTGATGACGCATCATCGTGGCTTTCGTGTTAGTAAATATCCTAAACTGAACAGATACGAAACAGATCCAGATAAATATCAGGTCATTTCGACAATGAATTATCCGATCTCGACTTTCAGAGTCAGTTTTGTCTAATGAAACACATCTATTTGAGTTCAACCATATATTCGATAGTGACCCAGATAAAATATCCCCTTTAACTCTTAAAAAACGGATCAAGATTTATATCTCTTCATCAAGTGATGATGAATCCGGACTCAAACAAGACAAATTCAATACACCAAAGAAGTATAATTACAATACACCTAAAATTAGCAAATCAACAACAAAAATTTCACAAAAAGAAAATTATCAACAATCAACTCCAAAAACAACAACAAATAAAGAAACCCATTCAAAAACCTCGCCTTTTAAACGAAAATTCCTTGATAATTCTAGTTCAGATGATGATAATTATAAATCTACTCCCAGAATCAAAAGAGATAATGCCAAATCAGCCTATAATTATAATATAAGTTCCTTAAAGGAATTGATTAATTGTTTTATTTGTTTATATTTATAAATTGTTATATTATTCATCTAGTTATATTTTTCTTTGAATACAATGCTTGGATTATCTTTATCTTCTCGAGTTAAAAATAAATCATCATCAACAGGATCTGTCGTTATAAAAGTACCTTACAAATAATTTATTTGTTTCATCATTTATGGAGTTTGGAGTTACCCAGAGAAATGTATTATCATTACATTGAATACAATAATATAATTTGTTATTATCAGCTCGATGAGAAGTAACACGTACAATAGATTTCCCAGACTTATAAAAAATGAATAATTCTGAACAACTAAACTTGTGAATTAACAAAATTAAAACATAAATATTAAATATTTGATGAATATTCCAGTGAATTTCATTTTTTTATGAAGGAAGTTCACTTTTGGTGTCACCCCCATCCTTTTTATTACTTTTGCAATGAGTCAAAAAACTCATTGTTTAAGTGCAATTAATTGTACTCGAGAAGTATTCCCATAGCGATGCTGATCAAGATAGCATTTGGAACCTTTACTATGAAGGAATTAGTCCTCCTTCCGAAGTTTTTACCGGTGAAGTTGAAAAAGTCACAGCAACATCTAGCAAATGCTTTGCATACATCTGCAAGTTTATCAATCTTCAAGATAGAGCAGTTACTTTCACAAATACAGTTGGCTACTCGATTTTACTTTGCGAAAACGTTTTTTCAGAAGGTCCAGGTACAGTATATATTCAAAGTTCTAGTAAAAATAACATTATTATTGATAAATTCTGTTCATTTGAATGTAAAACTCCTACAGATGGCCAATTTACTTATTTATATGGCAAAATCAACAGTACACTCCTCCAAGGATCAATTTGTAATGGAGGAAGTAGTTCAGTAAATTATATGAATTACCAATCTCAAGGTTTTGCATCACTTTCAAAAACAAACATTTCTAACTGTATATCAGCAGCTTCTACAGGTTTTGATTATTATCAAGTTGAATCAACAGTAAATGTTTCATTTTGTAATTTTGAGAATTTAAAAGCAGCTTTCTGGATTATTACTGGGTTTTCTCATTGTCAAGGAAGAATTGACCGATGTAATTATATAAATAATTCTCAAGAGCAAGATTCTGTATTAGTTTATGTTTCTTGGAATAGACTTGATATTTTCAATTCATCTTTCCAAAACAATCGACAGAATAATGGAGTTTTATTTAAAGGAAGTCATGGTGGACAGATTTATATACATCAATGTAGTATTGATGATTTATCAACTGCTGGAACAGTTGATGTATCAGATCAAGGAACAAAATCATTTAAGAATAATTTTTACTACATTGATTTTAGTATATGTGCAAGAGATTTTGAATATGAAGTATTATTTGTACCAAAGAAAGAAAATAAAATTTGTTCTTCTTTTAAATCCATAAATTTTCTTTTTGGTAAATTTCATTTTTCTATTTTGTTATTGATTAAACGATAAAAATTTCACTTACACATATAGTTCTCTCAAGTGTGCACTTTCCACTTCCTGACATGCTAACAATATGCAAAATACAAGTTTGATGAGACACAGAAATTATAATCTTTGTTCATATGAGGAAAGCACCTAAATTTCTTTAAATTTCCTCATATATTATGGCTTAAATGTGACTTCTCATAGATACATGAATAGTAATCCTTGAACTGTTTAATTTTTTGACCTTTATATCTATATGTTGCATATTTAAACGCCTACTTTTTTTTGACAAATGTAAAGAATCTTTTGACCATTGTCAAAAAAATTTTTTTATGAATGTAAGTCCAAGAATTATTCACCAAGTTTCAGAAGCATTTCCATACATGAGGGTTAAGACAAGACTTAAGAATCCACGATCAACATTAGGTAAATCTATCAAAGAAATATTAAATCGAGCAGGCAAGCGACAAATTTCACATCCAAAGCAAAACCAAACTTACGAAAACGATGATTCTGCATCAGAAAGTCGGCGAAGTAGTACAAGAATTAACGGAAATCTTACATTTTCAAAATAACTTTGTAAGAAACAATTCTAATTCAATTATATTAGAAAGTATATCAGAAGAAGCCGAAGATCAATTATTTAATGAATCACCAATTAAAAAATCTATTAATAAAAAATTTCTGAAATAATTCCATCACAAGACCAATTACAGCTTGACGACATTACAGAAGAAAAATCCGAAATAAATACATCAATAATTTCCACAAATACAAAAAATTCATATTCATATTTTGAAGAAGAAGAAAAAGAAGATAATTTTCGAGTTTTATCCAGAATATGACTATTACAAACCTCGTCAACCTTACGAAAAACCTAAGAAAGGCTCAAAAAGAGTCAAAAGAAAAACAATGCCGCATTTATTTGAAGAACAACAAGAATTAAACACAGGAATTGATATTGCTATTGAATATGAATATTCATATGAAGAAGAAAACAACGAAGAAGTTTTGTTTCTTGGAATTCAAAAGACGGAGTTTATGCTAGTGATGACGATCATCGTGGCTTTCGTGTTAGTAAATATCCTAAACTGAACAGATACGAAACAGATCCAGATAAATATCAGGTCATTTCGACAATGAATTATCGATCTCGACTTTCAGAGTCAGTTTTGTCTAATGAAACATATCTATTTGAGTTCAACCATATATTCGATAGTGACCAGATAAAAATTCCCCTTTAACTCTTAAAAACGGATCAAGATTTATATTCTCTTCATCAAGTGATGATGAATCCGGACTCAAACAAGACAAATTCAATACACCAAAGAAGTATAATTACAATACACCTAAAATTAGCAAATCAACAACAAAAATTTCACAAAAAGAAAATTATCAACAATCAACTCCAAAAAACAACAACAAATAAAGAAACCCATTCAAAAACCTCGCCTTTAAACGAAAATTCCTTGATAATTCTAGTTCAGATGATGATAATTATAAATCTACTCCCAGAATCAAAAGAGACAATGCCAAATCAGCCTATAATTATAATAATAAGTTCCTCAAAGGAATTGATTAATTGTTTTATTTGTTTGTATTTATAAATTGTTATATTATTCATCTTTTTATATTTTTCTTTGAATACAATGCTTGGATTATCTTTGTCTTCTCGAGTTAAAAATAAATCGTCATCAACAGGATCTGTCGTTATAAAAATATCTGACAAATAATTTATTTGTTTCATCATTTATGGAGTTTGGAGTTACCCAGAGAAATGTATTATCATTACATTGAATACGATAATATAATTTGCTATTATCAGCTCGATGAGAAGTAACACGTATACAAAGTAGTAGGATATGATGGGTTTTGTGACTTTTTTTGTAAACGTAAGAATTCATACAATATCGAGCGATTTTGTATCATTTTTTTAACATATGAAGTAAAAAATGTATGATTCTTACAGTTTTTATTCTTACGTTTTTGAATAAATCAAGATTTAAAAAATTTTCAAAATTGTAAGACATTTACACTCAGCCCATACATAATGAAATAAAAAATAATTTTTTTAAAAAATAAACCATTAAAAATTCATGTCTTACGAAAAATTAAAACTTAGTTATGTTTATTATTTTATTTTTTTATTTTGTATGAAATGAGCGTCAAAACTAACAACGTTAAAAAATTAGGATTCACAAACGGGGAACTAAAGGATATATTAGAGGAGGTGGGTTATGAAGTTGATAAATATTATTTAAGAAATTGTCAAAAATTTGCCGAGTTATTAAATGATTTAGATTATGATGGAAAAATGAATAAAGATGATGTTATAAATTTCTTATATCCCACATCTGAAGAAGAAAAACCTAAAGAACCTGATGTTTTCCCGAATATTATGAAGAACGGATTAAAGATGATGAATACAATGAAATTGAAAGACTGGAAAAAATAAGAGATGAAATAGATGAAAAAATTAAGGAATTAAGAGAAGTTGAAAAATATAATGAAAATGAAGTAGAGGGTTTATGAATATCCCAGCTTCAGAATCAGAAGTACAGAAATCTCATGAAGAAAGATATATAAAATTATGTCTCAGAATCAACACAAAATTTATTAGATGGTGAAATAGACGAAACACTTTCAGAAGAAGGTACTAAATTTATTCGTAAACATAAGTTACAATTTATTGATAATGAAGAATACCCTGTATCCTACTTTCACCACCTTTAGATTCCAAAAAATTAAAAAAGCTCTTAAAAACGTGACATATGCAACTAATACAATTAAGAAAGAAGATCATGATATTTACACAAATTATTATTTAAATAAATGCACGGGTGTTGATAAAGTTTTTGATTTATTAGATAAAATATCAAAAGAAAACCATTGGAACCTATAAAATTTTGTGTGATTGTGGTTTCATTATTGAAGATACTAATAATGTTTCATATGAAAGAACAGCACCGAAGGAAGACGAAGTTGAAAGGTCTATACCATTCGTTATTAAGAACATAAAAGATATGAAAACGTATAAGCATTATATTTATTCATTTATTTCAGAAAAAATGGAAGCAACCATAAAACATCTTCTCATCATTTTATAGCTATTCATACATTCCTTTTCAAAGTTGTGAAATTAAATAAGACAGGAATTAGATTTAATGTATCAGGGTACGCATTCTTGAGTAAATTAAAATGTATTCGTCACGTCGCAGATGATAAAAATTTATGTGTTCTTAATTCATTTTATGGGCTTTAAAAAATAAACTTTATTTTTATTTATTTTTTAATTTTTTATTCTTACATAAATGAACAAAAACGGAACAGCTAAAATGAATGATAATCAAATTAGAGCAGAGGTAGAAGGTTATTTAAACGCTTCTATAACATTCCTGATGGTGTTAATCCTAAAACTCGTAGAAGCTATTTAAATGAAGCAATAGATGCATATGAAGGGTTTGACATTTCATCAGAAAGTGAGAGATTAGCGAGAATGTTAAATTTAATATTGATTTCTATTATTGTGATCCTCAACCAGAAGACGTGGACATAAATAAGTAGACTTTCCATTAGTGGAATCAATAATGATAGATCCAGAATTTGAAACAGTAAATATTTTATTAACACAGAGTCCATGTGGAAAACTTCACGCTGACAGAATAACAGACGTTGAAGCACTCACCGGCTATAAAGTTTGTCCATATTGTAAAGAAGAAGTTTATTCTATCCGCGATGATCCAGAAAGGAAAAACCAAAGAAGATTTTTTAAGCATTGTGAGAAATGTAAAGAAAATAATGGGAGATTATATTCAAGACGTTCAGTTGCAAAAGACACAGCAACCATATGCACCACATATTACGAAACAGAAAGATATATCAGTGGTTATTTAGCTCACAATTTGCAGGAATATTATAAACCGACAAGATATTATATTACTTTTGACTTCGAAACATTAGAGACTAAAGAAGAATTACAATAGTCATGTGATTTTATCCAAGCATATGGGATTCTAAATTTTTGTCCCTATCGTTATCCCAATTGAATTTTTTTTTGGAATTTAAAAATTTTTTCTCCATGTAAACTTAAATTTTAATTTTTACCACTAAAATGCAATATTTCAACAAATTAATGAGTAATAATATTTTAATTTATAATAAATATTATAAATCTCCTCAATTTAATTAATTATTGTATTAATTTTTGTTGAAATATAAAATCTTCAAGTAAATGATGTGAATTTAATATTTTTAGAATGTTGTTTAATTGTACTATATTATGCATGTAAAATTTTGTTACAATACATTTTATATGGGATCCCCATTGCCCAATTGAGAGAAAATTGAGAGGTGGGATTGGGCTAGCCCAATTCAAAATATCCCAGGTGGAAATAAAAAAATTAACAATTCAACATAAAAAAGCATCTTAAATAATAATGATAAAAAGAAATTTTGTATGAATTTCAATCAAATTTGTTTTTATTCAACTTAAGAAATCACTTCATTAATGAAAGAAGTCGGGTTCACAAACATATCCCGATCTTGAAACGAAACAACATGTTTTTTTTGATGCCCTAAACGGGGGGGTCGCCAGCAAAAAAAAAGATGTCAAAATTTATCCCAAAAATTTAAAAAAAATCGAAGAAAGTGCATCCCAGGGATTATAAAATTTAAGTTTTCACATCTCTAAATTACAACTTTCTGAGTGTGCAACTTTGAATGCTTACTTAAAACCATTCATGGTATCATCAACGGTTAAATTAAACGATAAAATATATACGAGGAATTTTTGCTTAACTTCGAGTGATTCTTTTATTCTTGATTGGATTGAGTTTTTATTTTCAACCTGTTCATTAGTTGCTAAATCAAATATTGAACAATATGAAGAATTATTTGAAGCCGCAAACGGTGGGGACTTTATCTCATACATTAAATGAAAAACAGAAGGAAGCATTTAAAGAACTCTTAGATGAGGAATTCAATAAAGTGAATATCATAGGTTTTAATTTGGGAAAGTTTGATTTAAATTTAATTCTGCGTGATTTAAACACTGCAAAATGGAAAATAAAATCATGCTGGGTTCATCTTCACAATTTAAGCAAATCATTGTAAAGAAAACAAACGTTCCATATGAATTGAGATTTATTGACATCAGAATTATATAGCGGTGGGACATTAGACCAATTCACTCAGATTTCGGAAACAATAAATCACGTGTTAAATCCTTTTTCCCTTATCAATTCATCACGTGGGAGAATTACGAAGAAGAATTATATAAAGTGGAACCATTCACTCAAGATTCATTTTATTCAGCATTAACTCAAGAAACTATATCAGATAGTGATTATCAAATATATCTCAATGATGCTAAAAACTTTAAGAATAGATTAGAATATTTATTCATTATTGCAATAAAGATGTTGAAATTATGATTGACCCAATCGATAAAATTATTGAAGAAACATTGTTTATAAAATTGATATGCTTCATAATCTTTCTTTATCATCGAATGCTTCAATGATTCGTTACGCTTTAGCATATAAAGACTTTAATCCTAATGAAAAATATCCTGAGG